TTTATTTCCAGAATCATCCATTTAACACATTTGCACTTGGGTGTCGAATAAGACCTTAGGCTTAACATGCCCAAAATTGAGCTCCTACTCAAACACGTCCAAATCTGTTTCTTCCAATGTCCCCCATTTTAACATATAGTAAGTTCATTCTTCTAGCCATTCTAGTCAACATTCTTGTTTTTTTTTTTTTTTTTTTTTGAGAGAGTTTTTTTGGCTATAGGGTGCATGTGCTTGCCAGAAAGACAGAGAGATAGAGAGACAGAAAGTCTCCCACAGGGGAGATGACCACACCACAATCCCTTCTCCTCCATTTTCCTCTCAGGATCTTGGGTACGCACGCACACACGCCTGGCATGAGTTTAAGCCACAGGGTCCGGGACTTGAACTGTGGTCGACTACATGGGAGTCCAGCGATATAGCCATTACGCCAATTGCTGGTCCCTCCAGTCAACATTCTTAAGTATTCTGTTTTTCACTTCCCATATCCAATCCACTAAGCAAATTCCAAAAGCTCTATTTCAAACATATCCAGAATCTAGTTACTTCTCAGCCCATATACTATTTCCACTGAGTCCTGCGTTACTGTATTTCTTATCTAGGTTACCGCAATAGCTAGCACCCCAAATGGTCTCTGAACTCCCATTTTTTCCTCCTCTCTCAATACATAAGTCAGTGGTATCCTATCTCACAGAGTAAACATCAAAGCCCTTACAGTGACTTGCAAGACCTTCCAGGAGCACAATGATATTATCACCTACTACTCTCCCCTTTGCTCATGCCACTCTAGCCTCACTGCCATGGGTAGTACTTGTGGAACACTCCAAATGCATTCCCACTTCCAGCAGTAGAATTCCTTGGCCCCAGGTATGTGCATGCCCTACTATCATATTTTTTTCAGACTTTATGCAAATGTCAGTGAGGCTATCCTTGGTCACCTTAGTTAAAATTCCTTGAGATTTCTAATCCTGGTTTCCTACTTTATTTTATCTCTGTACTTATCACCACCTAACAGTATATATTTTATTTATTACTCTTGTTTACTGTCCATCATTCCTCAACAGAAATAAAGTCCATGAAGGGAGACACTTTTGCCTACTGTTTTTCAGTGCTGTTCCTGAGAGACTAAATCAATATCTGTCACATAGTTGGCATTCCCTAACTACAGGTGCATAAATGAATGGCTTTTTGAAAAAAGAAAAAAAAAATAAATCAAAGCCACACAATGTAATGTACCACAATAATAACAAGCACTATGAGTAGTCAGAGATAAATGTCCTTTGTTACAAATATACTGTGCATAAGTCTGTTTCAGAGGGAGTAGGTGTAAAAAGTTTGAGTGTTTTCAAGTCAATCTAGTATTTTTGTTAAAACCACTGAAAAACAATACTTCAAACAGACAATAAAAGCTTTATGTGTAAATTACTCCTCCCCTGCCTTATTAGTTTCATTTGGTAATTGATCTTTAAAAGGAACAAAAATAAAAACCTCAGTATAAGGGTGCTTTTATGGGGATAGAGAGAATAAAAATGTGCTTTTTGGGAATTAAAAAAAAAAAAACACCTGTTGGAAATTTATATCCTCTTTAAAATCTTCTCTTCCTCCATTAACTGTTTTTTTAATAATTACTTAACTTTATTTACTTATTTAAATTTGAACAGAGAAGTACAAAGTGAGTGAAAGAGTGAGAGAAAGTGAGAGTGAGAGTGAGAGTGAGAGTGAGAGTGAGAGAGAGAGAGAGAGAGAGAGAGAGTGAGAGAGAGAGAGAGAGAGAGAGAGAGAGAGAAAGTGAGAAAGCAAGCCTCTAGGTCTGGGACTCAAACCACGGTCAGTCATGTGGGAGTCCACTGACCTTAACCGCCATGCCACCTGTGGTTCCAAAATTTCATTAACCGTTAAACTTTCTCCTACCAAAATAAAAGAAAGGAAGGAAGGAAGGAAGGAAGGAAGGAAGGAAGGGAGGGAGGGAGGAAGGAAGGAAGGAGATGCAATGACTCTTGGGATACCATCTTTTTCAAAAGGAATTTCTGATATGATTACTTCTTGGTGGCTTTGTTTTTATATTTTATCTATCAAAGTATTTTATCTATCTAATTCAGAGCCAGGTGAAACACTAGGGACCAGTTAGCAGACTGCTTTAAACTTTAAGACAGCTGCATAGGGCAGTAGCAATCAATCTCACTATATAACTATGGCAGCATATGACTAGTCATCATATTGACCAAACTATTCAACCTAGGCAGGTACTTTGTTCTGTATCTTCACTGTTTTCATTTATGTTTTTCCTTTACTCAACAGTCCAGTCACTCCACCATGCAGCGTCCATCATCCTGTCATCCTTTTCGCAGGTAAACTCCTAAAATGAGTTGTTGCATTGGGTCATCGGGAAAGTCATGGTGCATGTTTGAATAGAAAAACATAGAAAAATATGTCATAACTTTACTCACAACCCAATATTTGCTGCTTTAATTTTCTTAATTATGGCTCTATTTTCTCGACCTATTTCAGTATGGTTTCAGCTACCACCAATTACTGAAATTACTATTCTTGAACTCACTAAGAGCCTAATGTCACTAAATCCAATGACATTTTTTAGTTTTTATCTTCATTTTCTTCTCAGTAGCATATTGAGTAGCAAAAAGGAGTTGAGTTGATTATAGTTCTTAATCATCCTTACTTTGTCCATCTTAATATTTCATCTAGACCATGTATTTCACAGTTAGTATAATCTAGCTTCAGCATATGACTAGTCATCATATTGACCAAACTATTCAACCTAGGCAGGTACTTTGTTCTGTATCTTCACTGTTTTCATTTATGTTTTTCCTTTACTCAACAGTCCAGTCACTCCACCATGCAGCGTCCATCATCCTGTCATCCTTTTCGCAGGTAAACTCCTAAAATGAGTTGTTGCATTGGGTCATCGGGAAAGTCATGGTGCATGTTTGAATAGAAAAACATAGAAAAATATGTCATAACTTTACTCACAACCCAATATTTGCTGCTTTAATTTTCTTAATTATGGCTCTATTTTCTCGACCTATTTCAGTATGGTTTCAGCTACCACCAATTACTGAAATTACTATTCTTGAACTCACTAAGAGCCTAATGTCACTAAATCCAATGACATTTTTTAGTTTTTATCTTCATTTTCTTCTCAGTAGCATATTGAGTAGCAAAAAGGAGTTGAGTTGATTATAGTTCTTAATCATCCTTACTTTGTCCATCTTAATATTTCATCTAGACCATGTATTTCACAGTTAGTATAATCTAGCTTCTGGTTTTATCCATTTTTAAGTATAATGTATACCTACAGAAAAGTGCTCAAATCACTAATGTATAGCTCAATGAACTATCATAAAGTTGACACACCTATGTAACCACTGATCAAGTCAACAAACAGAACATTACCAGCATTTTAGAAACTTCCTTCATATTCTCTCATTACTATTGCCTCCTCCTAAATTGCAACCAACACCCTGACACCTAACAACATAGATTAGCTTTGCCTGATTTACAGCTTTATATAAATTGATTCACATAGCATATAATTTGTTTGTTTTTTAGTAAACTCTCCAGTAGAGAATCTGTTCAAGCCTCTTGCTCATTTTTCTGTTAGGAAGTCTTTATATATACTAGATAAAAGCTCTTTGTTCATTACATGTGTTGCAAATATATTCTCCTCTGCAATCCACTTTTCTACTTTCTTAATGGTGTCTTGATGAAATAAAATTTTTAATGCAATCCAACATATAAATTACTTTCATTATGATTAGTGGTTTTGTATTCTAAGAAATCTTTATCCATGATATTGAATTTATCCTTTTACATTATTTCTAGAAGCTCTACTATGTTACCTCTCTTGCTTAGATCTACCATACACTGGAAATTGATTTTGTTTGATGTAAGGTCAATCTTCCTGAAAAGATATCAAATTGACCCAGCACTAATGACTGAAAAGATTATCTTTTCTCCACTGTTCTGCAAGGTCCTCTCTGTCGCACCAAATGTCCATATACATGTGGGACCATTTCAGGACTCTCCATTCTATTTCATTAGTTCATTTGTCTACTCTTCCACCAATACCTGGATGTACTTCAAAAACAGATCTTGATACTGTCAATAGTAGATCATCTTCTGACTTTGTTTTCTTTTACCTTGACTCTTCTTGGTGTATGGTACATCTGCATGAATTTTAGAATCAATTTTCCAGTGTGTGTGTGTGTGTGTGGGGGGGGTAGTGATTAGAATTTTAATCTATGAGAGAACTGACAAATAATATTCTTTAAAACGATGAATGTGGTATAGCTATCCATTGATTTAAAGTTTTAAATTTTCTTTAATTATGTTTTATAGTTCTCTCTGTAGATGTCTTACATCTCTCTCATTAGATATTTCCCTCTTGGTATCTACTATCTTATGATGCTGATAAATGGTATATGTTCATTTCCTATTTGTTGCTAATAAAAAAAATGATTTTTACATATTAGCGTACATTTTTGTTTCTATGTGTATTCATCTTATCTTACTAACTATATTTTTAAAAATCTTCTAAAAGTTGAAATCTTAACTTACGTCTCTTTTCAGTATTAGGAACTGGCATAGAATGTTACATAAACAGCAATTACTCAATGAAATATATGACAGCAGGAAATTTTGCCTTAAGACAAAACACTAGAAGATAAAAATAGAACAAAAGAATGACTAATTCAAGATTAGACTGGCATATAATGACCAATGGCTCCAAAAGTAGCCTTTTCCTCTCTGATATTCGCTTCTAATGCTACTTTAGAACATCCACTCTGAAAATGGCCATGGACTGCCATGAGTCAGGGAGGCTACCAGACTGTTGTCAAGGACAAAAGACACAGGATTGGCTCTGGATCAGACACCTTTGCCACCTCATCTTAGTTTGGCTTTGGGACCAGTACCTAGAACACTGTTGATATTTAACAATTTACCACATAGCACTCTGTTCTATAATGTTGTAGTAATTCTGCAGGTTATGACTGCATTTTCTCAAAATCTACCAATTTTTGTGGGTCAAAGCTTGACTGTTCAACCTTTCCTTGAGAAGTGGCAAAGACAGTCATCAACATAACTTTACAAATAATGAAAGCAAAGGAGTTGAAAGGTGCTGCTAGGCCAGTTAAATTCACAAAGAAGCTGTATGTGAAATACAAATGGCCTATAACATGGTAACACCCAGACGGGTTTTCAGTGTAACTTAGGCCCACACCTAAACTTGTTTCAACACATGCTAAAGAAGTACAATAGAAACAAGATGAGAGGAAAATCTGACTTCCTCAAGCATGACTCCTTAGAGATGAGTATTTGCTAACCTGATTAATTTCTAGAAAAGCAACAACTGTTACAGAATAAAAAGAGAAATAATGAATTCAAATTCTAACCAGGAATTCTGAGCTCCATTCGGGAAATGAAGCAAAAGAAAAAAACAAACAGAAACACCAAACCCAAACCAAATGCTGATTTTAGAAAACACAACCAAAATCACAGAATTATCTGTATCGATCACCATAGAGACAATAAGTGATTGTTTTATCTACCTACAAGTGCCAATGATAAAAGTCTGGTTCACTAAGCAAATAAAACAACACAAAGCACCAATGAACTTCCTACTTTTCAAATTCCTTATTTTACTTAATCTTAACTATATTCCCTTAAAATTACCTGACCAGTCTAGTTATTTAATATCCACTGTTAAAAATGAAAAACACTTATAACTAGGACCAGCAGATGGCATAATGGTTATGTCACTGGACTCCTAAGTAGTCAACTGTGGTTCGAGTCCTGGACCCAGTGGCTTAAAACTCATGCCAGGCACATGTGAGTGCATGCCAAAATTCTCCTCTCCTGAGAGAAGAATGGAGAGGAGAAGGGATCATGGTGTGGCCACCACCCCCACCCTGGTGTGGGGGAGTGATTTCTCACTTTCTGTCTCTGTCTTTTCAGTGAGTGCACATGTCCTACAGCAAACATCTCTAAAATCAAAAACAAAAATAAACAACTATCAGAATACTTTCGTAGGAAACAGGGAAAGGGTTAAATGCCTTGATATCGACATTGTTTCCTTTAGTATAATAACAACTAACTCTTTAAAAATCTAGAGCCAAGTAAGAGACAGACACGTATTGTCCAACTTGCTTAGGATTAACCAACAACCTTACTAGTACCCAAATACACTCTCTCTGTAAAACAACTTTATTGTCACTTGGTTATAAAGAACAGAACTCTCAAATAATCTCTAACTCTCAAATAACTTACTATTGGTCTCAATGCATTTGCTTAACAGAAAATGCAGGATGTTTTGTTTTACTGTAACATTTAGTAATAGGTCCATAAATTATCGGATAAAAATTAGGAATTTCTTTCTTTTTATATTAGCTTACCCAGTTTAGAGGCGCCCTCTGGTGGGTACTCAGGAAACTGACCCTCAGAAGGGACACTGACAGTTCTCCTCAGGCATCGCCCTTTGGTGGAATCTGTCTGCTGCTCCTGTCCCCCTTCCACAGGCATCTAGGTAACCAAAAGAAAACGAGATGACACTAAGTTGGGAACTTGCCTAAACTATTTTATAACTAATACTTTTAGCTAATGAAGACAGAAGTAATTAGCAAAATAAAGCAGGAGAAATAAAGTATACACAATGGTAATACCCACCCCTTTTCAGGAAGCTTTTCTTTAAAAAGAAAACTGAAAGATCAAGAAAGGTGAGTATGTAAATTAGCTTAGATGAAGTATGTGCAAATCATATCCAAGTGTGTACCTGCTTTGGGAGCTGGGAAAACAAAACACCCACACACAAAAAAAACTCTCTGTATCAAAAACTGGTTCACAACAAGCTCCATTTTTTTGGGTCAATATTCAATTAGGCAATGAAAATCAAAATTGACTAGAAAGATTTAGCTTTAAAAATTCTCTTAAAAGGAGGTTTTGTGAGATAGATAGCAAAATCAAGCCAGCTGGATTGCGGTGGTTAAGGTGTCTGGATCTGACGTGGCAGACAGCATGGTTTGAGACCCAGACCCAGCAACTTGAAAAACACGCCAGGACCATGTGCGTGTATGCCCAAAATCCTGAAAGGAGGAAGAAATGGAGTAGAGATTGTAGGGTGGCCATACCCCATTGTAGGGTGCTTTCTCACTTTCCCTCCCCCCATTCCCTCTGGAGGTGCCCTTTGGCAAAAAGAAAAAAATAAAAGTAAAATCATCAGTAAATTTTCTTTTACTTAAAATGAAGTACTTAGACACAGTTAATAAAACACATTTTCAGAGAACACTTGTATAGATACCTACATAAAACAGCATTATTTTCTTCTAAAAGTGAAATTGCTTTTATAATACTTGAAAGTAATTTTTCTAGTCAATACTAAGAAGTATTTTTTTAGTATATCTAGGAACATATCAAGTGGTTGTTTGCATGTGTGAAATGAAAACTATGAATGGTAAAAATACCTCTAATGCCAATAACATTTAAAATTTATTCAAAGGGTTATTATTGTACAGTAATGAGATGCTTCTAAGTTCCTTTTTTTCTCCCTTTGGAGAGGGATGCTAAGTTTGAGGGAAATGGAAATGGACAAAGACCTTTTTTTTTTTTGGGGGGGGGGGCTGCAGATGGCATGGTGGTTACAAACGCTGGACTCCCACATGGCTGACGGCCATTCAAGTCTCAGACATGGTGGCTTGCTTTCTCACTTTCTCTCTTTCTGTCTCTCTGGTCAAATTGGAAAATATTTTTAATTTGCTATAGAGCACATGTACTCACCAAAAAGAGAGAGAGAGAGAAAAAGAAAGAAAGCCACCTGGTCTAGTACTAGAACTGTGGTTGGCTATGTAGGAATCTAATGCCCCAACCACCATGCTACCTGCTGGTCCCTGGACAAAGACTTTTTAACAGATGAGATTTTACTAGTAACCTTTATACAATTAAGAATTATACTGGTAAAGTCTTAAAAGGTTTGGCAAAGTATGTCAATAACTAATCATAGATCCTAATTTCTTATGGCTCTAATATTGTTTTCGACAACCTTTAGTGGTAATGACTAAGTTCTTACTATGTGCAAGTCTAAGAACTTTATATATATAAAACTATGAGGGAATTTCCCTTTTTACAGATGAGAACTCATTTATTTCTCCAAATGATTAAAATGAACAAATACTGTATCAACTGATTCAACAAAACTAGGGCAAATAAGTGTATGCACCTCCTCCTTGTCTTAGTAATCCAATTCCTACGACTGGGGTCAAGGAGATGAGAGCAAGGGAAGCTCTGTTACTGAGAATTTGAGAGCAAATTCCTAATGCCTCCATAAACACTGACAATTTTCACACTCCTAACAACCAAAAATTTCCCATTCTTCATTGCCATAACTATGGTTTCTCTTTGCACACTGAGAAATGAAAGGCAGAATTAAGAAAAGTAAAATTCTAAAAACAAACTGAGACCAGATAACGGCATCAATAATGACATGAACTCTTCCAAAAGCACTCTGTAATATAACACTTCACAAACAGTAATCTAAGTCATCCATCCCTTTCAGGATGGAAATTATATTATCTCTTTTTAAATAATTAAAAGCACAACACTGAGAGGTTAAATGAAGCTCTCCTATTAGGAAAGTAAAACATGAATCTTCTGCCTGCCTTAAATGTAGAAAGAATGAGAATAAATTTGGAAAAAAGCCTTTGTTTCTTTGAGCAAACAGTTAAATCTAAATAAACATACCTATTTTATAATAATTCTTAAAATGCCTATTATCTGAAGTAATGAAAGTTCTAATTGATTTGGAAGAAAGATAGTAGTTGCTTATAGTGTTTAAGAAGAGAATAATCTTTTCCATGGAAATTTATAAAGGCTGTTTAAAGGGGAAGAGTAGGAATGGCTTCTGTTACCATATACTTTGTCTCTACCGTGTCTAAGGAGAAGATAAAATACATTAAGCTTATTTGGGCCTAAAATTCAGTCCGAATTTTTTCTCAAAGTTTTGTTTTGTTTCTTTATTTCCTCCACAAGTGACAAATTTAGAGAGAAAAAAGAGGCAGAAAGACAGAATACCCAACAGGGTCGTGATCCACCCAGAGACAGAAAGTGAGAAATCACTCCCCAGGGAGGATGGCCACGCCACAATCCCTTCTCCATTCTCCTCTCAGGATCTTGGGCACGCACGCACACGTGCCCAGCGTGAGTTTTAAGCCTCCAGGTCCAGGATGCGAACCGCGGTCGACTACGTGGGAGTCCAACGACATAGCCATTACACTAACTGCTGGTCCCAACATTTTCTTGACTATACTGAATTGCTCATTTAAAAAATTATGTATGTTTGGCTCAGTCTAGGTGGTGCAGTGCTGGAAGCCACATGGCTAACCTTAGATTTGGATCCCCAGGTTGGCCTCGAAATTCACCAGGCATGAGTGCATGGAGTGCCCAAGATTCTGAGGAGATGGAGAGTAGGGAGAAAGGGACTGCAGTATGATAAGTCGTGCTGAGGGGATTTGTCTCCCTCATGTGCACATACTCTCTATAATAATTGTGTATCTTCTGGTTTGGTTTTGTTTTTAAATCAAGTACTTTAATTCTATTTTAGAGGAGGAAGGTAGAAAATAGCAAACAATTAATGATTTCTGAAGGTATCTAGGATGTGCTTGTTAAATCAACTGCATTTCTGGCTCTTGGTCCCCTCTTCATTCCAAACCATCCATAGCAATGAAAAGAGCAATGTGGCATCTATAAGGTAAAGATCATACATACAAATCCATGTATTTTCTGCAAAATTGCCTTTTATTCTATTTAGAATCAAATGGAAATCCACTTCAATTTCAATTAAATATATAGTCAAACGGGTATTCAAGATTTGTGCTAATTAGCATCAGACAGATCTTCTCAATTATCTTTTCATAAATACCAAAAAGGGGTCAGCCCCATGGCCTGGTGGTTAAGGCAGCTGAATCCCACATGAGCAACTGTGTAGTCTGAGTCTTAAATCTGGTGGTTTGAGAAACATGCCGGGTACATATGTGTGCATGTCCAAAATCCCAGAAGGAGGGATAAATGGAGAAGAAGGGACTGTGGCACGACCATTCTCTCTCTTACTCTGTCTCCTTCTGGTGAGCACACGTGCCCTGTAGCGCGCATGCATGCACACACACACACACACACACAAGTCACTGAAAAGATGCTCAGGTTTACCATATTCTCAAAAGGATTTTTTAAAGTATTATTTATTTATTATTGTATTTTTAATTTTCTATAGGGAACATGCACTCTCATGAGAGAGAGAAAGAGAGAAAGCCACCAGGTCTGGGACTTGAAATGAAGTTTGTCATGTGGGATTCCAGCAACCCAACCACCATGCCACCTGCAGGCCCCTCAAAAGGATCTTTCTTTTTTTGGAGAGTTTTTTGCTATAGGGTGTGTGCGCTCGCCAGAAAGAGAAAGACAGAGACAGAAAGCAAGAAATCACCCCCAAGGGGGGATGGTCATGATGCAATTCCTTCTCCTCCATCTTCTCTTGAGATCTTGGGCACGCACGCACACGCACCCAGCGTGAGTTTAAGCCACTGGGACCAGGACTCGAACTGCAGTCGACTACATGGGAGTCCAGCGACATAGCCATTACACTCAAAAGGATTTTTCAATCCTTTCAAAGAAAGAAAAATTCCTCGACTTTCCTATCCTTTAAGGCAGTGGGGTTTTTTTTGTTGTTGTTGTTGTTTTTTTTTTTTAAGAGAGGCTTTTCCTATAGGGTGTGTGTGCTCACCGGAGAGAAAGAGAGACAGAAAGTGAGAAATCACCCCCTAAGGGGGATGGCCACACCACAATCCCTTCTCCTCCAGTCTTAAGGCAGTGGTTCTTAAAGGAAGTATGGCATAGGTACCAGTAGCATCAGCATCTCCAGGGACTCTGCTAGCAATGTCCATTCTCAAGCCCCACCAGAGACATAATGAATCAGAAACTCTAAGGGTAGATTTCAGCAAGTTGTTTCAACAGGCCCAGAGTTGATCCTGATAATCACTTAAGTTGAGAACCACTGTCCTAAGGTGGTGTTTACTCTCCCTTCCTATCAGGGCTAAGCCATCTCAAACTGTCATCTATTGGGTTATCAAGAATGTCATGATGTATTTTTGCATAGATAAACAGAAAAATATGTCATGACTTTCCCGATGACCTAATATAATAAAGGTTCCAAACTTGGCTGCAAATTAGAACTACATAGAGGAACTTTAGAAAATATCAATGGTTAGACAACTCTTGGTTGTTCTAGGCAGGCAAAGTTGAAAACCAATGATCTATACTCTGGATTCCTAATGTTATTCATTTATTTATTTATTTACTACTTAATCACATGTATATTTATAGCATATAACATTCCTTTTTCCAGCACAATTACCATGTGTATCAGTCAAGACAAAGACATTATTATAAACACTTTTTCTCTTCCCCTGTTCCCCTCCCTTCTTCCCCACTCCATTACCCACTCCTGTATTACCCTATCCTTACTATCTTTAGTATCTACC